TTGATTTTTATCTAAGCCGTAAACTTTTGCACAGCGAAGTATATTCACTGCCATTGAAAAGGAGTGCATGGCGGTGGTGTGGGCCCTCAAAAAGCTGCTTGTATGGACAACCGCTTACCTTACTCACAGATCACATTAAATTTGGGTCACTGCGCGGTCAAGCTAATGTGACACCAGATAGTAGTGGTGTGTTTAGTACTATTTTTATCAGTTTAATACCTTCCGCGTCTCCTATCAGTGGACGTGTACACGGCATTGATTTTTGTAACAGGGAGATGGAAGAAGAGGCTTGGTCGGTCCTCTTTCTGCAAATTTGGGGCACTGTGCGGTCAAGCTAATGTGACACCAGATAGTAGTGGTGTGTTTAGTACTATTTTTATCAGTTTAATACCTTCCGCGTCTCCTATCAGTGGATGTGTACACGGCATTGATTTTTATCTAAGCCGTAAACTTTTGCACAGCGAAGTATATTCACTGCCATTGAAAAGAAGTGCATGGCGGTGGTGTGGGCCCTCAAAAAGCTGCAACCTACTTGTATGGACAACCGTTTACCTTACTCACAGATCACATTAAATTTGGGGCACTGCGCGGTCAAGCTAATGTGACACCAGATGGTAGTGGTGTGTTTAGTACTATTTTTATCAGTTTAATACCTTCCGCGTCTCCTATCAGTGGACGTGTACACGGCATTGATTTTTGTAACAGGAGATGGAAGAAGAGGCTTGGTCGGTCCTCTTACTGCAAATTTGGGGCACTGCGCGGTCAAGCTAATGTGACACCAGATAGGAGTGGTGTGTTTAGTACTATTTTTTATCAGTTTAATACCTTCTGCATCTCCTATCAGTGGACGTGTACACGGCATTGATTTTTCTCTATGCCGTAAACTTTTGCACAGCGAAGTATATTCACTGCCATTGAAAAGGAGTGCATGGCGGTGGTGTGGGCCCTCAAAAAGCTGCAACCTACTTGTATGGACAACCGTTTACCTTACTCACAGATCACATTAAATTTGCGGCACTGCGCGGTCAAGCTAATGTGACACCAGATAGGAGTGGTGTGTTTAGTACTATTTTTATCAGTTTAATACCTTCCGCGTCTCCTATCAGTGGACGTGTACACGGCATTGATTTTTGTAACAGGGAGATGGAAGAAGAGGTTTGGTCGGTCCTCTTACTGCAAATTTGGGGCACTGCGCGGTCAAGCTAATGTGACACCAGATAGGAGTGGTGTGTTTAGTACTATTTTTATCAGTTTAATGCCTTCCACGTCTCCTATCAGTGGACGTGTACACGGCATTGATTTTTATCTAAGCCGTAAACTTTTGCACAGCGAAGTATATTCACTGCCATTGAAAAGGAGTTCATGGCGGTGGTGTGGGCCCTCAAAAAGCTGCAACCTACTTGTATGGACAACCGTTTACCT